GTTAAATATAAGGCAGCCGAATGTCAGAAAATGAACAGAGAATGCTGTTTTATTACTTCACCTGTTTATTGAGCCATGAGTCAGACCTATGTACAGCCATAATAAAGACATATTAAGGTAAAACCGTTCTCTCAGTACGTCGGCCATATTTCATTTTTGAAGTTTGCCAAAATCTTAAAATCATATAAAATTGTGAGTAAAAAAAAGGAATTGTTCAAAGTTGTTGTTGTTTGAGATTGAAAATGAGATTGTGTGAGTTTTTGTGTAAAATTTTAAAATGAAATTGCTTGCAAAAGTCAAGAATTTGAAAAATTCCTCTCAGCGGTTCTACCTTCGTATTTTTTTTATCATATGTACAGCTTTTTAATTACTATTTGAACATCGATTCTCTTTATAGGAAGACGTTGAACATTTCTGCTGCAAATCCCTATTGAAGGAGCTCTCTCTTTGAGAAGCTACTCTTTGACTTTGAGTAGCAAAAGAAGGAGGGCGTACGGGACAGTTTTAGCACAAAAGTTTTTAGCCAAGGTTTCAATGAATATCCCCATGAAACAAATATTGCTCGACAAGTAAATGAAATAATTGTTTTTTGAAATTTTTTCTAAAAATAAATTTTCCAAACAGCTTCATTTGAATTCAAAATCATCAAAAGCAAATCACGTAAAAGTGGTTTAAACTGTGCGCACTTCTTTCATGTCTAGTAGTTTTTTTAAGATTGGCCCACAAAATAATAATACAGAGAGAAACAAACGATCAAGTAGAAGTGAGAACTTGCACAACTGCCCATTTATAGCTCGGTTCTATAGCTTGAGAAGTAATAGGTTTAGACACTTTTATCAAAGTTGATAAATCTGAATTTGAACCAGTTTTGTTACACAAATACTTTTATGTGCGACAAAAAATATTGGCTTAAATTTGTAATTTTGTTTGCCAAATAAACATTCGCATTTGCAAAAGCTCCGCATTGATTATTGCGAATGCGAAAGCGAATACGAATATTAAAATTAATGCGGAAGCTCCGCAGTTGCGAATGCGAATGCGAATACTCGTAACAACCCTGGTTCTTATTTAGCTATCATCTATTATAGCAAACTTGTAATTGAAAAGGTAAGTTTATGAAAAGGCATTGATGAGTGGCAACACTGTAGTAAGCACCACTGAGTGCTCCAGTAATCGACAAAATTCTGCGTATACAGACAACGTTTAAGTATAAGTTCTGCGTTCTTGACTAATTTTACCTTAACAGCCGATTTCTCAGTGGATATTTAATTATAATCAAAGATCCGTATTCGAAAGTAAACAAAATTTGTTTTTTTCCTTCGATACTTTAATAGTTAATTTAGGAACAAGTTAGGAATCCGAGCAGTGGGAAAATTAAAAAAAAAATTTAGTTCGATAGAGGTTTTAGAGACAAGTATAACAGTATATATTTTTTTTGAGGCGGAAATGAACTACGGTAGTTACGAAAGGTCAAAGATCAAATGCAACGTTTTTTCGGGTATTGTTTAGTATGTGGCCCAACTATTTCGTGGTATTGCGTCCAAACGGGTGACCCAATCCAAAAAAATTTCTATACACTTGTAGTCAAGGGT